TCATTATGGTATATTCACTTTTGTTATCTATAGGTAAAATTTTCTTATACCAGGGCTCGACATTAACTTTTTTTCCTACTTGTCTATTCGGACAAGTGACCAAGACATTTACTTGTCCAAACTTCAACTTCACTTGTCCGAAAAAAATTTCAATAAAGATCTAATACTGTCAACTTGAAAACTAAAATGAATTCCATTACATGTGCTTCATTGATTCATGATGTTATTGATAAATACAACAAACACATAACACAAAATTTTATCTAGACTTTCTGTCCTAACAACAACATAAATGGACTGTCAACATAAAACAGAATCCAATCTTCGTAAATTCCATGCCTTTATAGTAGTATGCAATTAGTGAACTTCGATCCTGATTGAGTGTGAACTCAACTACATAGTGATCCATATCGGGATGGAAGTTTGGTATTATGTACTTACTGCTTCCATCTTTGAACTACCGGTAAACGTTGAACAGTCATTCTTTTTATTATTTAAAGACTTCTTTACATTAAAATGCACTTGTCCAATCGGACAAGTACCCAGCAATATTCACTTGTCCGTATTTTTTTTACACTGGTACCGGACAAGCGGACAAGCATTAATGTGGAGCCCTGTATACACTCTAGTGAAGGGGAAGGAGAGTTTTGAAGTGATTTTGTTATTTTCACAGTGAAAATATCAATTTTATTCACAAGATAAATTTACTGAATTTCACTGTTGAATTTGTTGGAAATATCATAAAAAGCTTTCTACATTGAATCTCAGTTCAGTGGTATAAAAGCTTTAGCTTGGTCATTAGAGCTATTGACTAATGTGCCAGAGGTACCGAGTTCCTTTCCAAGCAAGGACATATATACATAACTCTGTATAAACAAAGTATAGTAGAAATCCTGCAGTAAGCATTGTATAAACAAAGTATAGTAGAAATCCTGCAGTAAGCATTACAAGTATAAACAAAGTATAGTAGAAATCCTGCAGTAAGCATTGTATAAACAAAGTATAGTAGAAATCCTGCAGTAAGCATTATATAAGAAGACAGATAGAATGCAAAGCCAGTTTTAGTGATGTTAGTAAGACTAATAAACTTGTTAGCAGAGCTGTTGTTAGCACACTCTCATCTAAATAAAAAGATCAGATCTGGCATATGTATTTAGTATTTTATGACTTATACCAGTGAATTTGTTCTGTGCTTGATAAGATGACCTATTTTTAATCTTCAATGAAAAACTAGATGAAACCCAGCACAAGTGTGGCCATGCAATCAAATTTTTCATCACTGTCAATCAAACGATTCAAGTATACCCAAATTTCTATGTTTCACGTCAGCTCAGCTTTTATGAAAAAAGGAGAGAAAATTTTTGTCTTTTAATTAAATCAATTTACAGTAATTACTAGATGTGAGCCAAATTTATGTGTACTGGTAGTTCATTGACATTACTTTATACATGTATGGATGTAGTGTAAAATATAAGAGGAGTAAGCATGAGCTTTGGTGCATTTCTGAGTTTATTTGCAAAAATGATTCATTTGTAAGTATAGAAGAGTGCATTTTATACTCATCTCTTCTAACGGTCAGTACTTATTATCAAATGAAATGAGATGAGACTGCATGATCATGTGCTTTACACAATTATTGCTTATTAATCATGTTAATTAACCGAGAGTGTGGATATTGGCCTCTTTCAGGTAATATCTCCAAAGTCACGGTCATTCTTGATTCATGTCTATTCATGTCTATATCCTATGATACTATCAATTTTTACAACATTTTCAAAAGTGAAATACTGTAAATGTATCCATTTGATATTTTCTTAGAAGTGTTATTTTCACTGTGAAAGTAACAAGTGTTATTTTCACTGAAAATTTGGAAGAACACCCTTTTTCCATTTATGAAGAATATGCTGAATAAAAAAGTCCCTGCAGATAGTGAGAGTGAATAAACCATATTGACACTGACTAAAACTAGTGATGGGAATCGGTAAGAATTTTATAATCGATGATCCGGCTACTGTAACTAACTAATTATCAATTATAATCGGACATTTACAAAGTCTGTCAGTTTAGTTTATGAAATGGTAAGAATGGGTGAATAACTATTTTCTATGGTGGTCCATCTGGTTCTTTGTTCATTTTGTAGAATTCAGAGTACGTCCATACCCGGGAACGAGCGTTGTTACCCGAGTATGAAGACAATCATCTGTTCGTCTGCACTATTACGATACTCAGATAAGTTCATAGATAAGTCGCGGCTGGTAGATTCAGCTTAAAAACTATTATGCTTGTAAAATAAAAAAATTATGAACCCGATTAATTGGAATAAAAATTTTGTAATCGAGTGCTTGGATTATGCCAGCAATCGACTGATTTTCGATTATAATCGATGATTGGAACACCACAAACTAAAACTGCCATTTTTTTCCCATATAAGTATGATAAACATATGCAATCAAATATTTTCATTGTGCTATAGGGTCTAAAGTTGTTTTCTTTGTTAACTGTTCATTTCTGTAGGCTACAGACACAGTCCAGATGGCTATCAAATAGGCTGTACTGAAAAAAAAAATCGAATTGAATGCAGTTCCTGTAAGCCTCTGCCTGTTCTGTCCAAGTGATCACTATTTCATTACCTAGGAGAATTAATCTGCAATTATTTATATGTTTCCTTTTTGGGGGGGGGGGGAGGATCCATTAATTTACTGATTATCTGAGTCACTTCCCATCATATGATGAACAACCAAGTTTACTTCCATTGAATCAACAACAAATTTTTGTATGTTTTAGAAAATAATACATATGTTTTTGTGTAGAAAAAAAAGTGCAAAGCACATGAATTCTTGAATTAATTGCTGCTATCAGATTTTAATCTATGGAATATCATGACATTTTGATAGTCATTAGAAAATGTAAGAACTTACTGATTCAGCCTGTAAACATGTTGTTATGCGAATGTTTTGAATGTTAATGATGTGCCCTGCAGTTCTACAGATATCTAAGATCTCTGAAATGGCCGTTTAAAAGTGCAAGTAACTGTCATCTACATGTTTTTCTATGTTTATTGTCTTAATAGCATCTAAATTGGATCTCAACAGCTAGCATGGTTAAATCAACTTCTTAAGAGTTGAATGACTCATTGAGAGGGACTGCTTCTATATTATGTTTCACAATTTGTCTAACACAGAATGATGTACTACAATTTTGAATGATCGTGATGATGCAGAGTTTCCAATATATCACATTCTGGGGGATATATTAGAATTGTGGAGAATATAAACAGCTGTTTTAATATTCAGTGGATTATACTTGTACTGGAAATGTAAGCTACCTTGACTTTATATCATAACTGCCTCGGATCTGACTTTTCTACACCTGTCCTGTGTTAAGGTTCATTGTAATTATATGTTTTACACCTGCCCTGTGTTAAGGTTCATTGTAATAATAAGTTTTGCTGATCATCACTTGTTTATCTGAACAAGGTTTGTTTACCCTTTGTCACACTGACATAATATGGATATGTAAACAACTTAATACTACAGATCAATGAAGAATAGGAAAACTAGATCTTGTCAATGAATGTTTCATAATGTGTATGAATAGTTTCCTGTTAACTTTAGTTTGGCCAGGAAACTTGCTTTTGAGAATTGGAGATTGAACAGAAAGTGTTCCTCTATTGTATCGTAATTTGATCAACTCGTGGTATAAACAATAATTTCTGATTTTTGATGTAATTAAAAAATGGTAAGTGTTGCTTTTTTTATCAGCTGGAGATTGATGGGTGGGGTGGGTATTTGGTGTGGAGGAATTTTTCTTATTTATTTTATATAGGGTTATGACTTTTTTTATACATGTATTAGTTTATTTGCGAATGGCTATGGTCCTGTCATATGTCTGTAACCTTGTTAAGTTCTTGTCATATGTTCAACAGAATTTTTTTTTGAGAAATAATAAAAAAAAAAAACTGTACAGTCATTAGTTCTAGTTATTAGTTTACAAGGTATGTAAACATTTACATTTACAGAAATGGCTTTATGGGAGATAAGTTCTTTTAAAAGATATCTCTAAAAGATAAAGATAAAAATAAAGTGTGTGAGTCTATACAGGGACATTCATACATCTCTGGTCACTGTGGTGTATAGAAGAAATAATGCTTGTATAAAAGTTTGAAGTACAATGTAACACAAGACAACCTGGTTATCAATGGGTCATGTTTATATGCTGGCATTTTACATCAGTGAATTGTCGTGTAACAGTTATAGTAGGGATATTTATTGTGTCAAAAAGAAGAAATGTTTGTGTACAACTCAGAACAACGAAGAAATTAAAGGGACATAATGTGTCAATAAATGTCCACCCACTGAAACAAGTAAATCCCAGTAATATACAACTTATAACAGAAAGAGAACTATTTAACAAAAAATGTTCTGGAGATTATATCCATATCTGATTCATCTCTTGTCTACTCATTTAGAAATTTATAGGTAGGAAGTTGGTAGTATTTTTCAAAGGGGCCCGTATTACTGAGAAAAGGGTCACAGCACATTTATACATGTATATAAGTACTTTAGTATCTTAATATGCAGCCAGGACTAAGTTCCTGCCATTGTAGATTGTGCTCTGTAGATACTGGTATTTCCTTATAGGGAAAGCCTGTACTTTAAGATAACAGTTAATGTAAGCATATTGAAAATGTAACATTCAATGATTTCACAGCCTTCATTCAAGGTATGGCCTTATATAAACTAAATTATTAATATTTATCTTAAAGAGGTATCTTAAATGATACGGATTGAATATTGTAAGTAGACCACTGCAAGATAGTTGAAACTTCAATGAAAAAAATTATTGTTTTTATTCTTAAAGACAGTGAGACAGTGTCTTTTAACATGTCTTTTATTATTATGTAGAAGGTTGAGTGTTGCAGAGTCTTTGTACTCTTTGTTCTTCATAGGAAGTATTTATTTAAGACATTTTATATTCATTCTCTTCAAGGCATAATGGAACATTTGGGAAGTCTGATAACAGGAAAGCCCTGATCAACTCAGGAAATCTGTAACCCTTTGGATATGTTTACATGAGGAAGTACAATCCATACTATGTCAAATACTGTTTTGTTTTTATAAACTGGAAAGGCATGGCAGTGAGAGAGGAGGGTTAAAGCTCCCCCCGTAATCTCCAGACCAGGATTGTGTCCCGAGGTCTCGGTGTCAGCGATGGAGGAGGAGGATAGCAGGGAATGGCTGTATGACCTCCTCAGCGAAGTACAACTCGGACAGTTCTTCTCCAAGTTACGAGATGACCTACAGGTTACACAGTAAGTGGAGGCTGCTAAGTTATAAATGCATTTACTTAATGAGAGCATTGTGTCCAGGGTGTATACAGATTGTACTCAGTAATGTGAAAGAAGTGAACAATTTGTATGCTTCATTAAGTGATTCTGTATCCAAGCATTAATTTTCTCATAGTTTCCTTGTTGTATATATATACTTCTTGTATAAATGATGTATGTTGACTCCAGGAGAGTAACCCTTTGAACAAGGAATAAATTTTGTGAATTAGTATGGGGATTAAAGTTTTCTCTAGATGTTTTGAAATGAGAAGATATATAGAGCCTTTGTTCACAATCACGAATAGCCAATTTTGTTGGTTTAATCTGAACGACCATTTAAAGATCTGTCTTTGATTTAAGTTGTTTTCAGATATCATAAAAAGGACCATAATTGTGTTAATATATATGACAAAAGTTAATATTAGTTTACTGGGTAATAAGGCAAATCAAGGACATTAAACTATCTTTTTTTTTTTAGACATAGAAAACCGTTTATGTCATAAGTACCTGAAATCATTTCTTGATTTCTTGAATTATTGAATAATAGTAAATAAAGGGTTTTAATGAAAGAATTAAGGTAATAGAAAGATTTTGGTTTTAATATGGTCAATTTTAAAAAAGAAATTCTTTCAAAATATGTCAGCTTGGATAGGGAATGTATTGTGAAAGGTATACCAGAGTACTTGTTGAACAGTATATGCTGAGTTCAATAACGGAATAAGCTATTTAGTTACTGATACTGCAGAAATGCTTCTTTATGGCTGGTCTTAGTTGAATGAATGTTGAAAATACACACCGTGTTTTAATGTGTGGCCCAGGGGTATTAGACAGTATATTAGGTAGTCTGGAATTACCGCAGATTAATCACCAAATCAGGTGTAAACTTGGCCTACCAATCCTAAGTGTGGGTGGATATAGGTAAAAAAGGTAATGTAGGTAGCAGGGATAGACACCTGTGTTTGTAAACAGACATTAAGTATGTACAGTTACATCATCATTTTGCACTCTGAAGAATTAAAGGTCTGGTATTTTATTTATAAACAATGGATGGATAAAAAGAATTAATGATCGAGCTAGTTGAGTGATCTGCCATATTTGGAGATGCCAGATTTTAAACAGGTGCTTTCTGTTCTTAGTTAAGAGTATTACAGAAATGACTTTTGACTGTATGTGATTGTGTTTGTTGGACACAGGTGTGTAATATCTAGAGGATAGTTCCTGTGAATTCAGTGTTCATTGGTAATTATACAGGTATTGTATGATAGCTGCCTGCTGTTACCTTTAATTGACACCTTCCTCTAGCATCAAGTAATCTTGCCAGGTAATGTACCAAAAAATCAAGAGAAAAAGAGGTTGCCTATGAAAATTCCCAGCAAGAAAGGAGAGTTCAGGTATTATGTAACACTTGGACCGAAAACCTGACTCCTTGTATTTTTGCCAAAGTCAGTATACCCTGGCATTAATAGAGTTATAGTTCATTTAATCTTGCATCATAAAATGAAAATTTAATTGCTCTTAAGGGCTTAAGATTAGTAGATATCAGATACTCCACTCCTCTGGTCAGATTTCAAGGTTTAGATAGAGGGTTTCCTTTGGGCCTGTTATGAACTGATTTAAGATTATTCTAGTGAGAGTCAAGACAAGAGGTCTAAGTGCTACAGAAGTGTGGACACTATACAACTACTAGCAACAACTGTATTTTGTTGATCATTAAATTTCAGACTCTCTCACTTTGAGTATGTCAAGACAGAAGACTTGGAGAAGATCGGTATGGGAAAACCAGCCATCCGACGTTTGCTCGACGCAGTCAAGAAAAAGAGAGCCAGTAAAAAACCGAAAATACTAGACAAAGTAAGGATTCCTCTTATAGATTGGTTAATATATGACTTTTGAAATGGAACCCAAAGAAAATGCAGACAAAGAATACTTTTCTGTTTCATCATAATGTTTCATGTCAGTGGGCAATATATATATATATATATATATATATATATATATATATATATATATATATATATATATATATATATATATATATATATATATATATATATATATATATATATATATATACCTGTGTTTTAGAATTTACCTGCGAATAGATACAGTACTATGAAAAACCTCTGTCTATATTCATGTTAATTTGAATTAGTGTGTTGACATTTATGATGACCATTCTTTTACAGATTCTATCTTTATGATGACCGTTCTTTTTACAGATTCTGTCTTTATGATGACCATTCTTTTACAGATTCTGTCTTTATGATGACCATTCTTTTACAGATTCTGTCTTTATGATGACCATTCTTTTTACAGATTCTATCAGGAACAGCTAAGAGGATGACAGAGGATGCAACAAAATCTTCTTCCTCCTCCTCATTTCCACAACACTATGGAGAACAGTCATTAACTTGCCTCATTGATAAAAAACAGCTAATGTTGTGGGGAAAATTGGGTAATGGATCATTTGGCGTGGTACGGGAGGGTGAATGGACCACCCCTAGTGGTCGTAAGGTAGGCCATTTATTTGGCTTTTTGATCCTTTGGGCTCCATTCATCAGATAAGTGATGGAGGGTTCATGTGATTCAGGTCTCTCGAGATCGAGGTCTATGGTAACAGTCAGTGTCAGATCTATCAAGGTCAATGAGAAAGTTGACCGTATATTTGTTTGACACGTTTTTCGAAGGCTCTGTATTTCCTGTCATTATTTTCTTACAATGACTAGCTATAGCTTACAATGATAAAATCCATGTCACATTAAATGCAAGAAAAATCACAAACATGGTACAGAAATTCTCAAGTGGGTTTCACAATATACTTTTTAAGTATGCTTTCTATTGTAAAGTGACTTAATTGTATGTATTTTGAAATGTTGTAATTGACATACATTAAAGCCTATTGAGTTAGATGAGACATTGAGAAGTGTATTTGTAAGATAATTGAGATAAAATCACTGTTTCTAGACTCCTAATCTCTTACTTTTTGAGATATACTTAAATCAGGAAATAAGTATATTATTTTCATGAGACAAGTTGTCTAAGTATCAGAGTGCAGATAACATCATAAAGCAAGATTTAAAATGTAAATATATATGCAATATTTACATTATTTTACAGAAGAAGGTAGCTGTGAAGGTGTTACGAGCCGATGCCCTCGCTCAGTCTGGAGCGTTTGAGGACTTTGTTAAGGAAGTGAATGCGATGCATAGTCTCAATCATCCGAACCTAATACAGCTTTATGGCATTGTCCTATCCTCACCACTGATGATGGTATGATTAAGAGTTTGACAACAATGTGTCATATTTCTGAAATACTCATGTTTTACACGTAGCTCCACTTTTAATATTTTATTCTGTTCAGAATCTTCATTTATAATTTTAATCTGTTTAGAATACATTAATGCTTGCATTTTATGTGATTTGTAAGGAAATATTATGAAAAGGATATTGATTACAAATGGTGAACTTAAAATTCTGCTTGCATTTCCCATTTTCATATACATGTAAATTAATTACTCTGTGTTTATAGACTTCCTAGGTTGTTTATGTAGTATTGTTTGATATCAACGAAATAATCAATATAAATTTTGATTGAATAAGATTAGCATTGAGGTTTTTCTGGTCAAAAATAATATATTAATTGTGGCAGACATTCTTATTCACTTTATTACATACATGTGGTTTGGAATAGAATAAAAAAAGACATTGAAAGGTCTGTATGGCATCTAAACAAATTTTTGTGGAAGTTAAGAAGATCAAATTCTTTATTTTACAGCCTGTTTACAAGTGTAAAAGAAATTGCTTTCCATTAGCAGTTTTAAGTTGAAATAAAATCTGAAAAGTTTGCAAAACATATATGAAAGTGAAACCAAAATTAAAGCGGTATAGGCACATCTGTCAATACTGTAACTTTTTACCCAGTAAATCTACTGGCTTTAACATGACATAAACTTTATTATGAAAAAAAGATTCAAATGTTGTCATAGACCTTATTGTAATTTTTCTGCTTTTCCTAACACAGTACTTAATGTATACCTGTATTTAACAGGTGACAGAGCTAGCCCCTGGAGGGTCTTTATTGGAACACCTAAGGAAAGAGCAGACAACTCTCCTAATATCTACCATGTGTGATCTCGCCATACAGATAGCCAATGGAATGAGTTACTTAGAATCCAAGCACTTCATCCACAGAGATCTGGCCTGTCGTAATGTTCTTCTGGCTTCACCACAGAAAGTATGAGAAATATAAAGTAAAGTCTTGTTTTTTGAGTAAAGTAATGACATAACGTACTTGTACTTTTATGTGAAGAAGTATTTTCCCCCATTATTACTAGTATTGGCAACATGAAATTTTCATCATAACTGATACTAGAAGTTTTTTAATTCAAAGTTGGAGCAAATTACATGGTAATTGATTACTTTAAAATATAATCCAACAGATGCACAATAATTTGTTTTGACTATGTAATATGTGTGTATATTTTCTCTGTATCTGCAGGTTAAGATAGGGGACTTTGGATTAATGCGAGCTTTGTCACATCAAGAGGACCATTATACAATGTCAGAAACAAAGAAAGTCCCATTTGCCTGGTACACATAGCTTATCTATACATTTCAAAATTTAACATTGTCTTACAAATGTTTTGAATTTTCTTACCAAGTGATAATTTTTTTCACTGCATATTATGATTGAAATAATTTGTGAGTACTGGAAATAGAATTGGTTGCATATTTTGCTTAGGCTTGCATATTTGTAAGATTCATAATCTATCTTTATCAACAGTTAAGAAGATATTTATACATTTTTAAAATTGATTTTTTAATAAATGATTTGTAATTGAGTCATCTGAAATGTAAATATTTTGAAAATTTTCAAAAATCCATCTTGTTATTTGAACTTCTGTTTAAAGTGCCAATATTTTGTTGTAGGTGTGCACCAGAGAGCCTGAAAATCCGTAAATTTTCCCACGCTAGTGACACTTGGATGTTTGGAGTGACATTATGGGAGATGTTTACGTATGGCTCTGAACCTTGGATGGGTTACAATGGTTCCCAGGTAATTTTCTTTGAAAGACCTCACTCCCTTTGACAATTTTCAGTGGCTACTCTTTGCATCATATTTCAAGGGAAACTTTTTTTAAAAAATTCATTGTAAATTCTCACCCTTTTTGCTCCCCAGAAATCAAAACATTATTTATTTAAATGATAGAGTCTAATTTATTTGATTTGTGTTGTAGATCTTACAAATGATAGAGGAAGGACAGAGACTCCCTAAGCCTGACTATTGTCCAGCTGATATATTTACTCTTATGTCCCAGTGCTGGGCCCTCAAACCTCAAGACAGGCCAACTTTTCAGGCTCTTAAGGACTTTCTGTGCGAGGTAGGCATTATGTACAGTTTTCGTAGATGTCTTTATCATTCATTGAAAAAACTTTACAAACTTTTACCAATCATGAAATTTGCTTTCATTTTACCAATAAAAGTTATTAGTTTGTCTATGTTGTGATTTTAAAAAACACACATATTTGATTCAGTTCAAAACAATCAACAATATAACATTCAAGTTTGAATGCCAGTGTTAATCTGTCAAATTGAATTTTCATTATAGATGAGGGCACAAGACGTTAAAGTTATTACAGAATTTGTAGAAAAGGATCATTTAGAGATATCAGAGGGTGATATGGTCACAGTTATAGACGGAAGGTATGCAATGTAGTTTAATTTACAAAACTTTACTGACCTACATGTACTCTGACTCGATCAGTGATTATCACATGCATATTTGAATTTTCTGTGTAGACCTGATTGTTACTGGTGGAAAGGTCAGAACAAGAGGACGTGTGAGGTGGGGACATTCCCTCGCCACTGCGTGGACCCCCAGCGCAAACTAGCAGGTCAGATACACAGACTCGTATCAGAGTTTTCCTTTGTAAAACTGTTTCATATAAAGAAATGTCATCTTTGATAGATTTTTTGCTAGAAAGAAACCTCATTCACAGTTTCAAATAATCAAGAATAATTAGCTGCTTATTGCATATTAGTAGTTATTTACACAATACTGGTATGATGTTGTACAGGAAATGACATTAGTCAGCCATTGAAAAATAGTTTCATTCACACTGGTCATGGGGATCCAGGTGGGAAATCCTGGGGTGATCCAGCCTCTATTGATGAGTGAGTATCACTGTAAGGCCATTTTTATACAATAACAGATTTCTTTTTGGAATACTCAAATCTTCTTAATTTTTTTTTTTATTTGTAAGATTTTTTTTTATCTCAAAAGACACTATTACAAATTTGAACAGAAATTCAAATACGAGGGTTAATCCAAACGTAATGTCACAACCGCTATAAAATCTTTAATAATCGAAAGTTTTTAACAAAACTTTATCTACTAATACCTCTAACTGTTTTGAATTTTTCCCTAAATTTTCATTTGGATATATACAATACTTCATAAAATATTAAAATAAATACAATGTTGGGTCTCATCTGTCACCGCACAGCAAGAATGTACCGAGGTCGTTATGGCATTTCTCTTCGACACTCATTTGGAATCTGATAATACATAAGATTTATGTATAATGGAATAAATTTAGAAATAACATTTGGACAAAGTTCAAATAATTTTAATTCTACAATTCAAAACAAGACAGTCTATAGCAAAATGGTAGTTAAGATTATTAAAAAGAAGCAAGTGAGAGGTTAAAAAGATATGAGGATGAATTGAAAATAGGTGCCGAAAAGTAACGTCATAATGACATCGGTAACATTCTTGCCTTGTGGCAATATACTAAACCCAACGTGTTTATCTTAATATTTTAAAAAGTATTTTATATAATTGAAAGAAATTTTCAGGCAAAAAGCAAAATAGAAAGAGGTATTAGTATGTCAAACTTTGTTATTTAAGATTTTATAGCATTTGTGGCATTATTTTGGATCAACCCTTGTACATTTCAATGCTTTGAAATTTCAGTTCTTTATTTTTTGGACCCTACATCAAGATGTAGGTACCCGACAGTATTAGAGGGAGAAACCAATACATTTTAATTGAATATTGCAGCCAACCATGGCTTTGCTTTCTCTACCTTCTCATATTGTTATACTGTACTGTCTTCCAGCCACTGTTGAGAATTGACAACACCAATTTTAACCTTTCATGAATTTATTAAGCAATCATATCACAATAGTACAATGCACAAAATGTTGGATGGAAATGGCCGCAAATTTTGTAGGAGTCAAGGGAGACAACTAGGATACCATAAACAAATGGGCAAACTAGTGGCCTCGCTTAGATGCAAGTGCCATGGAACCCCATGCCTGACACACATGGTGGCTAGGCACACAAGCTGCACAGCTTTTTCACCCTGTCTCTGGCTTGCTACCTGGTTTAGAACTTTTACACCAACCAACCTGTAGTCTCTCCTCCTTTTATAGAGGTAGAGGGAGTCTGAGCACTAAAATGCTGCAGACCCCAAGCAATTTACACTTATTCCACACATATCCTTAATGGCATTTAACTTCCATGTTAACACACAGCCATGAGACACCCCTCACGCTTTGATGCAGATGGGCAGAGGGTAGAGTTTTAATATTGTCCTTCTCAGAATTAGTGATGTACAACTGTTTTACAGGGTTTACTTACGAAATCCAATGGAACCACCAGATCTGCACAAACCTAACATGGTTTCTAAACAGCTCAAGAAAAGTTAGTATATAATGTCTACATATACTTAGATTGATATAAACCAGCTTGATTCAGTACTCTACATTCAGATCTGTATTACTGATGATTGATTATTTTGCCCTCATTGTGTTTAAAGAAGATAAAGTAAGATTAAAGTTCCAACCACTGAAAATAATGTACGCAGAAGAAATGGACAGCAGGATGTGAAAATGTTCTCTCTTTTTTTCTCAGATCAGCTGACACAAAGCTTAAGTGCCAGGCAGCAATTTAGTTACTCTAAGTTTGTCAATGAAGTGGACCATGACCTTCCAGAGAGAAAATACCCCTCAACCTTACCAAAGTCTGTAGCTGTTGTAGGAGCCACTCCAAATCCTCAGAGAGAAGAGAAATCAGCAAATAATACTGAAGAGAGTCTTCTTATTGACTTCAGTGATGAGTCAGAACTCTGTACTGCTCTGAAAAAGCCAGTACCAAATACGCTGAGTTTATTTGATACACTGACATCATCTGATAATTGTGCTCAGTTGGACCAACCATTGATTCAGGATTCTAATGCACCAGTAGACCCATTTGACACGAGGTTCTCACTGAGGTCCACATACAGCTTGAAACCCTCCCCAATTCCAATAACCCCTCAGACTGTGAATCAAAATAGTGTAATGTCTACAGAGAGAGACAAACAAAATAACATTGTCACTCAAAGCTTTAGTTTGCCTTTACCTGAGAAAACTCATCCCAACAGACCTCCAGAGTCGGAGTCATTTGAAGCTAAGAGGAGTCAGATAGAAGAACAATTAGGCAATAATCCATTACATCAGTGCAGAACTAATGAACTTAATGTAGGAACTTATGTCACAGGAAGTCAAGTTCATGTGAAGAACAATTTACACCAGGATGACAAAAATGTGTATTCTAAAGTGAACAAGAAAACTACTGAAAAAGCTTTTGATTGGCTAAATGATGCAATGACTGATTTTGGAGTTTCAAAGGAAAAGCACTACAGCAATGTTGCACCATTGTATGATGAGGTTCCTAACGAAGAAGAACCTCATTCATCACAGGACAGATTACATAAAACTAAGAACTCATTGAACTACAGTAGTCGGCCATTGTATGATGAGGTACCAGACGAGACAAATATAAATGATATCAAAAGTTTACAATCTCCCTCTTTCTCCAGCAATGTTAAAGTGTCCTCATCAGATGATGGATTATTTAAGATAAATAACTCCCTCAACCAAAACAGTGGTCCATTGTATGATGAAGTACCAAACGAGATGGATACAAATGACGTTAAAAACGTCTGCAATGTTACCATGCCAACCAGTTCAAGTGCTAATCAAAATTATGCTCCGCCTAGTGCTACATCTGATGATGAATTTGACTTTTTTGATTCAGACTTTGATGATGAGGAAGAAGAAGAAGAGGGCGCTGTTGTAGGAGCTACAGCCCGTCTCATGAAATCTGAAAACCTGGAAAAACCCCCTCCATTGCCTCCTAGAGATTATCTTTCAAACAGTTTGGATTCTAGAAGAGATGCTTTAAAAAAGAAGAATGAAAAAGCTAGAATCTTTCCTGTTCTTCAGGATGGTAAACAAATAAGCTCTACTCACTATTTTTTGATCCCACCAAAGGGATGTGATAATAATCGTACAAACACTGCTGCTGTTCGACCTTTCTCTGTAGATGGAAATCAACTTGATCATAGGAAACAGAGACCACATACAATGTCTGAATATCAGAATGTATCTGATGTTGAGATATCAAATAGCAAACAAATAAATAAAACTCAATTTGAAAATGGGGACAGAATGTCCTGGTCTGGAATGACTGGGTTGAAACCCATTGGGAGAATATCCAATGATTTAGGCAAATCCAAAACTAATAATAGAACAGTGCCCCGTTCTATCCCAAACTCTACTAAGTCAGTGGAACCCAATTTTATGTCGTCATCTCCCAGGGATAAAGTACTGCTGGTTCAGAATAGTGTAATAGGAGTGACTGATGAAGAATGCCATGCAGCATTGTGTCAGACAGCATGGGACGAAAAAGAGGCTATGAAATACCTGAAAACAGAGCAGCTCTTTCGACTTGGTCTGACATCGCGAGAGGACTGTGAACGACTTTTACAAGCATTGAATTGGAACTTAGAGCTGGCAAGCTCAGTACTGCTGGATGAATTCCGAAGTAGGAGAAAATCGGTCGAGTCAACAGTTTAACATTGTGCCACAATATATATTCATAGTCAGCCATCTTATTTATTGCCAGTCATGTTTAGTGTTTAGAAATTATATAAATTTATTATTTATACATGTCATATTTTTTTTTTATCAGAGCATGACTCGATGAGATGTTTTAGAACTCAGAATTTACATAACTCAGATAAATTTTTTAGGGATTTTTTTTTATATGAAAGGACATCCCAGTACATGATTTTTGTTATGCAATAAATAAAGGAAAAAAGAAATGAACTTACAGAAAAGAAAAATATGCTTAACCAAGAAGTAAAATTTGAGTAAGAATGCAAATAGTGATACCTGAATATACATATATATCTTAAGTGGATACAATAACTTTAAAAATGTACACATGCAGAAGTTTTTTGTTAATTTTTTTTTCACCTGAATACCAAAGATAATGTTTTTTGTGCCCATATATCATTAACTACATGTATAATTAACTAGGATTTGATACTTTAATTCTGGTTGATTAGTTTTCATACCCTCAGAATGAATTTATTTTATAAATATCGTTCATTTTTAGTTGTGTTTTTTAATAATTTATCATTTGTGTTATTTTCTTTTTATTGAAAATAGATCAAACAAATCACATCAACCTGACATTCTATTACTGTAACCTGTACAAAGTGCTCATGTACCTAGCTGAAACTGCTTTTTTTTTCTTTTTTGGCAATTAGACAGACTGCTAAATTTTTACCTGAGTCACTAAGATGACCTATTACTATGGTGTCTTCTTTCTGTATTTTTGATAAAATGGTTATCCCTGTCCTTCTTTATGGGTTGGAGATACAGGATTTTGAAAATGTAAACATTATTGAGGAAAATTGAGCTCAAATTTTGTAAACTTAACATTTAATCTTAAAGTGTGTAACATTTTGAGTTTCCTCTCTGAAATAACTGAACAAGTTTCATCCTAATTTTATACTGTATCTGATTCTAAAACTTTTGAATTTCAAGGTCACAGTTTGTTTTTTCTTCACACTTTCATTAAGAGGCAAAGTGTTTGCATGATTATAATGAGCAGTTAGCTTACTAACAAAATTGTGGTCCTAGGTCCATGTTTAAAGTTGTTAGGTCCAGGGTGGGGCAAAATTGATTATAAATTGAAAATGTATATCTTAAAATTTATTTGCTCCTGAGAATCAAACCAACTAGTTAGCTTCGTGCAGTGTTATAATGAAGAAAAATCCTGGACTAGTAAAATTCATGCCACTGGTCCAGAGTTCAAGTCCCAGGTGAGGCAAAGTTGCTCATAACTTAGGAAAGTCATGATACTTGGGTGACCTCTTGAAACCTTGTATCTCCATGTCACCAATCTCTTCTACACATTAAACTTCACTATCTTTATGTCTTACCACAAATGCCCATGGTACAATCACCTCGCAGCATCACTACACAAAGTTTGTAGAGTCACATTTATGAAGGATTAGTCCTTTGTACTTAATGTTGTATATTTTTGAAAAATAATTTAAATTTATGTGATATTGTTAAAAATTGATATTATGAGGAAGTATATTTTGACAGTTTCTGCTCTTTAAGGATTTTAATTATTATCTCTGCCATGTTTTTATCAACTTTAATGTCAAATACGCGGCCAGTGATAATCTACAAATCAATATGTAGACATACCACAGAATAATAAAACTGAAAAATTATGGACTACCTGATTTTTTAGCATTGTTCACAAGTTTGTATGACATTCATTTTTGTAACAATTTATCTCAATATAGTTTTGCATTGCAAGGGAATTCACTCCATGCAGGGTAAATTATGGTACCTAATACAAATTCATTGCCTTTTGGTACAACTTAGAACATGTATTTATTTTTAAAAGAAAATATTATTTCACTGAAGAATTGCAGAAATATTACAATATTAAGCCCTCAAGCAAAAGAAAAAAAAGGTTTGGAGTGTGAAAGGAATTACCTTTCCATGTGTCACAGCTTTAGAATGAACAATGCAGGAGTGGATCCAGAGTGTGTGTGTGTGTGTGGGGGGGGGGGGGGGTCCTGAGTTATTTGATTTATAAAATTTAAATACATTTGTATCATTTAATCTATACAATATTTGTCTGCACCACAGGTTCTTTGGGGATGCACCCCCCCTCCCCCCGGTTTTCCATTTTTCTTTTAAATCTTGGATCGACAAACCTTTTTTTTTCTATTTTTGTTTTCTAATATGCACTATATGTTATCGATAATGTAATCCTTTTGTTTCAATAAGCTGTTATTAAAATATCATTTTCGACTACATAAAGAGAGCTCTCTTTTTATGTATCGGTCGAAAATGATATATTTAAAAACAGCTTATTGAAACTAAAGAATTACATTATCGATAACATATAGTGCATATTAGAATACGAAAATAAGAAAAAAGGTGTGTCGATCCAAGATTTAAAAGGAAAAAACAATTGGAAAAGGGGGAGGGGGTCCATCCCCCAAATGCCTGTGGTCTGTACCACAGTTACGTATTGCAGAAATTTTAGCAGCTCACATTTGACACAACGATTGCTCGTGAGCAAAAACGCTACAAATACATGTACGTGAACCAAGGTCATGCGAGCAAGGCGTCTGTCACGGGGTTCTATACCCAGGACAAGGTCACAAAGATGTAAAAATTTCTAGTTAGGCTGTAACTAAAAACAGATATTAGAGTTTAAACAGGCTCAAAAGTAGGTTATAACCAAATTCTATCGATGAACGCAAGTTCTATAAATTAGGCCCATTTTAAGACTTGGTAATGTTAAATTGTCTTTCTTTTGTATTTTTAGCTCACCTCGACGAAGTCGAGATGAGCTTATGCTATACCCCCGGCGTCGGCGTCGGTGTCGGCGTCGGCGTCGGCGTTAGCGTCGGCGTCCCAGGTTAAAGTTTTAGGAGCAAGTCCCATTCCCAAGTAACTATAAGCCCTACCTGGACCAAACTTGCATGGATGATGCATCTAGGGATGGACACTACCAAACTTGCTTCGGATGCTGGATCTGACCTAGATTTTCCAGATGAGTGACCAGGTTAAAGTTTTAGGAACAGGTCCATTCCTTAGTAACTATAAGCCCTACCTGGATCAAACTTGCATTGATGATGCATCTAGGGATGGACACTACCACACTTGCTTCGGATGCTGGATCTGACCTAGATTATCCGGATGAGTGACCAGGTTAAAGTTTTAGGAGCAGGTCCATTCCCAAGTAACTATAAGCCCTACCTTGACCAAACTTGCATGGATGATGCATCTAGGGATGGACACTACCAAACTTGCTTCGGATGCTGGATCTGACCTAGATTTTCCAGATGAGTGACCAGGTTAAAGTTTTAGGAGCAGGTCCATTCCCAAGTAACTATAAGCCCTACCTTGACCAAACTTGCATGGATGATGCATCTAGGGATGGACATGGCCACACTTACTTCGGATGCTGGATCTGACCTAGATTTTCCAGATGAGTGACCAGGTTAAAGTTTTAGGAGCAGGTCCATTCCCAAGTAACTATAAGCCCTACCTTGACCAAACTTGCATGGATGATGCATCTAGGGATGAACACTACCAAACTTGCTTCGGATGCTGGATCTGACCTATATTTTCCAGATGAGTGACCAGGTTAAAGTTTTAGGAGCAGGTCCATTCCCAAGTTACTATAAACCCTACCCGGACCAAACTTGCATGGATGATGCATCCAGGGATGGACACTACCACACTTGTTCAGATGCTGGATCTGATCTAGATTTTCCACATGTGAGACCAGGTTTAGATTTAGGAGTAGTCTCATTCCCAAGTAACTATAAGCCCTACCTGGACCAACCTTTCATGGATGATGCATCTAGGGATGTACACTAACCAACCTGCTTCGAATGCTGGATCTGACCTAGATTTTCCACATGAGTGAATTTTAGCCATATTTTAACCAAATTAGCATGGATGATGTATCTAGGGATGGACACTTCCAGACTTGCCTTGGATTCTGAATCTGATGTACATTTTCCAGAAGAGTGACCAGGGTAATTTTTTTGGAGTAGCTATATAAAATTATGGCCTGTTATGATTAAACTTGCATAGATGGTGCATCTAAGGATGAAAACTTCCAGACTTGCTTTGGATGTTGGAACTGACCAAAATTTTCTTGATTACTAAACAGGTCAAAAGTTTTTTGAGCAGGTCTATAATTAAATCAAACTTGCATGGATATTGATCTTGGGATGTACCCTAACTAGAAAAAAAATATGATGTGAAATTTGCCTTACATGTAGATAACATTCGTCGAGGTGAGCTTCGTAATCTTTGATTACCTATGTTTTTAAAAATTTTATTATTATTTTTTTTTGTTAACCCTACCGGTCTTGGTTTTGTTACAGTATCGATAATTTATTCTTAACACATACTGAACCACATGTTATCGTCAAATAAATTTTGTGTGTCGCAGAAATACATTGCAAGCACGTAGTGTCGTTTTTGAAGGGGGGGGGCAGAAAAAAAAAAGGACAACTTATCTGAAAAATTGGACAAGCAGAAAAGAAGGAAAAAAGGATGATTCACAAAAATCCTATTATTCCGTTGAGGGGTGGGGGGGATGTTAATTCTCCAAAATCCTTTTCGGGGTTGGGATGTTAGGTTCCAACTTTTTTTATCAACCATATTTTATTAACATATTATATTATCAACGTCCTGTTTACCGTCATTTAACTATACTGCAACAAGAAGGGGGAGGGGAACCAGCCTTTCAATGAACATTTTTCAATAGTATAAAGTAGTATAACCCCCCCCCCCCTTTTCTTTCATTTTACATCACTGGGTAATAAATATTGATACTTAACCAGGACAAGCAATAATTTTATTTCACTTATCTAGTGCTTTAGTGAAGTTTTGACGATTATTGAAGTTTTGTCGATTAATATTGAATAGTTAAACTCTACAGAGCCTGGGGACAGAACCACATAACCGAGAGATGTGCAGATAGGGGCACTTTTTCTACATTAAATGACACAATTATGCGCAGAGTCGACGAACGATGATACGACCGCATGGGCATAAAATACTTATATAATATTGTTCGGAGCAGCTTTTTGACGGAAGGTATAATTATACTAGGACTTGGTCTGTCATGCAGCCCGCGTCCATGGGCCGAGTGACGAATGACGCCGACTGGCCGAGAAAAGATTCCCCCGTGTCGAGTTACTGACCGAATGGCGGGATTTATTGCCATTTTATAGACTGCAATGTTGACCATAATGTGCTGTAATCGTACTTAGTTTGTTACATTGACTCTGCATTAATAAATTTGTGTGATGCCTCTTAATAGTAATGTTTCTGACACGTTATGTAAGTTGTGTGTACTTATTAAAAGTGCACTATGTTGTTATAGACATAAAGTTCTCATACTGGTCACTATCATGGTTATCTAAGCTGTAATTAACATAATATGATAGACTGAACTACAAACAAAACTTGCAGATATACATGCTTTAATTAATTTTCCATGTACAGAGCGTACTTGCCAAGTATCTTACAAAATATTAACAGCCTCTGACATACATACATGTACTTACTTATAAGCAACATGACAGATAATAAATAAAACACACATTTACACAGAGTGTAATTAATATCGCATTAGCCATATATTAATCTCTGACAGATAACATATCATTAACAAAATAGTAGTATTTCTGGAATATACTCGAGGAAACACTTTATAATAATTCAAAACACAAATAAAAGGTTACCCTTTCTTTAACCGACAAGATCTTTTTTTTTATCATCCCGTCCCAAAATAAAATTTACACGAGAAAGCAAGGCCTCTCGTTGGTATAACTCGTTTATGTAAATATCACATACACAACCTTCCATTTCCATTACGTATAGCCATATATATATATATATATATATATATATATATATATATATATATATATATATATATATATATATATATATATATATATATATATATATATATATGCACGTGGGTGATATTGTATTGTGAATGTAAAAACATTCAGATGTCAGATGATACAATGTACATGAATATATGGAAATCTCAAATTAAAGTATCGGTCTCAATTGCAAACTTTTGGGCTCTTTCCCTTTTTTCGGTACCACGCTCATCAAGATATTTCACAAGGGAACCATACTCGTGGTAACACTTCAGCAGAATTGGTTTAGATGGCAAAATGTCTTTTCTAAGTATCTATCTATTGCTTATTTCCGCCTTCTCCAGAACATAGAAAATGGATTGAAAAAGTTTGATCTTCCGAAATTCATTCTAGAACTTCCCCATCGATTTCTTGACGAAGGTGTTGCACCTTCTCCTGCCGGGGCGGCTTCTCCAGCAGCCGCCCCCTCTCCCCCAGAGGAACTAGAACGTCTTCCTCCCCGGCTCATTCCGCCGAATCCCCCTCCCCAGCCCCAGGCATCCGTTGTTGGGTATCCCCATGGGTCCAGTCCTGGAGATCCGAAACTTGACATCGCGGCAGTGAATGGATTAAACTCGGCCTGGGCCTCTGTTAGTTAAAAAGAATACAATTGAACTGATATGCGTTAAAATTCTTATATAATCTTTAAAAAAATTACTATTAAGAATTTATTATATTCACACATGACGGAGTATGTCGTTTTTAAAAATACTTAAAAAATAATTTCATTGAAAAATAAATTTAGATGCACGTTTAGCAATGGTCCAAAGCTTAAATTCTTCCAGAAATTGTTATGCGGAAATAATAACACAAATCGTATTGACAGCATTACTGCATAGAATTGTCATAAAATTTGATATGATGACACCTTCTACACACGGGCCATGATGGACATCATTACTGAGGATACCTCATAAGAATGACACGTATCAAGATTATATACGAGGAAATAAAATATTGATAGAATACATTGAATGCATGCACATCTATACAGCGATTCCAACCGAAGCAAGAACACAACCAAAGCGAATCGAGTATAATCATGTGATGCAGTATTAAAAAAATCCTTCAAAGCAGATTGAGTAATTTGAAGGATGTCCCAAAATTACTTGGATATTTTGTTGTATAGATATATGTATGATATCTGTCTTTGAGATAATTAAGTACTGCTCTCGCCTACTTGAATATGCTTTATATTTTAAATATATTTTTAGACTTTTCTTCTTCCTACATGCCTGAAGCAATTAAAAGCTTTTATACACATGTACATTGCACACACCATACCATATTCTTGCTCTGAAATGAAATTACATAACTAAATATGCATTGAGGCGATAGATACACGATACCCCCCCCCCCCCTTTCTAGCCTTAGACTGGAACAAGTGTTACATTAAAAGTTTAAATCTTAATGTAAACTTGCTTATAGCTATAGATAAGTTTGAATCAAGGTTTAGATTTTTAATATAACACAAGGGTAATGAAAGAAAGATGTTCTTGAATGAAAATCCTCGGGCTTTTTTTTTAATAAAGGACCCTCAATACAATGTACACGAACGAGATCTTGGTACTTTGTATGTTTACGCAGCTAGAATGATCTCCCTTACATGCAGATCTTCAACGTATTACTCATTTTGTAATCAAAGCGAGCATTCCTGTTATTTTATTAGGCTAGATAAATTTATGTACGTTATTTGCATGTATCCCCCCATTTTTCTGTTCAGCAATACTTTGTTATCTTTGAGCGTTTTTCCTTTGGCAAAATAGCTGGTACCCTATGTTGAAAATGAAATATTTGTAAATAAACTTATTTTTACACCCACCTTAATATGATACTCACAAACCAACAAAACAATCACCCTGAGAAGAACAGAACGGTTGGAGTGACCCTGAGACATGATAGTGTCATGGACTTTTAAAATACATAGACAAATTTACTTTCTAAAAAAAGCTGCTCCATAAAAATAAGAATTATAAAGTATTTGTAAACAATTAAGCATGTATATATGACTTCATAGCAAAGAACCAATATGTTATGTTAAAATAAAATCCCCCGTATAGTTTAATTTATCCTAGATAAGCGGCCTCACCTTGAGCTGCGTTGTCCATGGTGATTCTGGGCGATCTGATCTCTGTCCAGTATGTTGTTCTGTTTGTCACCACCGTGGCTCTAAAACAACAGAATATATCCTATTACACATTCTATTACATGTGATAACTGTTGTTAATTCAAATTACAGTTACTAATAACCAAGATAGATTTTTGTGAAATGTTGTCATAAGAAAACGGCTACTGAATGCAGGCTTACATGAACTGAATCATATCAGCGGTCGAGTGGGTTGGTCCATACCACAGCAGTGTTATAGAGTCCTTCCATCTGGAATTGGAATGCGTAATGGCATCGTTGTTACCCGAACAGAACATAGGACGAGCTGCGTCATTCTCTGTGTACCACTGTCCCGTGGGCCAGTCTTTCGACCCTTCCTCCCCAGCGACTATCAAAAATCCCTTGAACGGGGCACCACTTATCGTGACTACAATGATAATGTTTACTTCAAAGGGAGACTCAAATTATCCAGAAAATCTTATTCAGTTATCATTTAAGTTGTGTTTTACTTCCTGGATATATTTGTTTAAGAATTTCAGGACATCCCTTAATACACACGCTCATACTCTCTTAATTTCTTTATTTCAACAATGAATGAGTGCACAGCTGAGCAATAATCGCACGCTTTAGCCTGGTATTTTTGCACGCTTAAGTGGACCATAAACAATAAACTGATCACTGAATGGAGAAACAAAGATAATGTCATGCGTAGGCTAGCAATGCGTCAACTTCGTGTTCAAGCAAATAACAAAAACACTGAACGTCAAAGCCGATCGCCTTGTTTGACCCCTGTGATTATTTTTTATTAGACAATGTTCTTTTCTTCACGAATATGCTTGTTAGATCTACTAATTATCTATGAAATTTCGAAATCGATTATTCTGATGCTGGCAACGCTTATTGAATTCGTTGTCAAATTAATTTAAATCAATGAATATCGCAAATAAAGACCCAAGGTTTTACTGAGTCAAAATGATGCTGCTTCATAACAAATTGAATAAATTAAAGAAAATCAAAGAACCCTGCTTTCAAATATGCATACAGAATGGGGTAAACAGAAGAATACAACACGCACAAACATAAAATAGATATAATATTACTTCAAGGATTCTTCCCATAAATCCATAAATAAAAATATGAATATAATATAAATTATATAAATATAAAGCTGACTGATTCTGGGATCAATACTTACCCCTTAAAGGTTTGTTAGGCGTGTAAGTGACTGAACTAACAGTAATATTATAGGGTGATCCTCCCATTTGTTTGAATATTGGCCTGTTTGATTGGGGATGAGTATGTCGGGGGATCATGAAAAAACACGCTCTCTCAGGAGCTCCATCTGGATATCCAACCGAAGTTTTAACCAAAAGAAAGCTCAAAACTAATCCAACGAAACACATTTTAGTTGTTACACGAGCTTAGCTTCCAGTCGACACTCTTTCACACACACCAGGCTGGGACTGGACTGCAATAATGCATAGACCATAAGTTATTATTTATTTGGACATTCTGACAAAACGCTTGTCACGTGTGTATTTCTGCATATACGTTGTTGTCTGTATTAGCCAATAGAAAATTGGAATTATCAGCATTTGTTTTCATAATGCTGTCTATTACGTGTATAAATATGCAGCTTTTCATGAATACTAGAAAATTATACGTTACGTTTTAATTTTACTATTACTTAGAACTTCAAAAAATTGTATATTTTAGAAAGACTTGAGACTTGTTTATATATATATATATATATATATATATATATATATATATATATATATATATATATATATATATATATATATATATATATATATATATATATATATATATATATCCAAAAAATGAAAAGAAATATCACAGTGTCCGGTAATTAATATGAAAATAAAAAAATAACAAGGCAACAATGTCAGTAAAACGTAAGCGCTTTCATTACTTCTTCAGACGTTTTACAATTCAAAACAATTCAAACATGTTTGTAAAACGTAAGCGCTTTCATTACTTCTTCAGACGTTTTACAATTCAAAACAATTCAAACATGTTTGAATTGTTTTGAATTGTAAAACGTCTGAAGAAGTAATGAAAGCGCTTACGTTTTACTGACATTGTTGCCTTGTTATTTTTTATTTTCATATATATATATATATATATATATATATATATATATATATATATATATATATATATATATATATATATATATATATATATATATATATATCGCAATAAACTTTATGACTTAGATAAAATTTGAAACAACTCTGTCATTTTTTGGTTAATGAAGATATATTTCTTAACTATTATTTACAACGTAGTCGAATGTAATAAAAATGCATTTGTTTTTGTTGTCTGATTGGCTCATACTAAATCACATGATCAATTATTATCACAATAGCCTATTGATGATGTCAAATTCTAGATATATATAGACATGGACCGAGCCCAATTGTACCGAATTAAAAGGCTATATTTGTTTTATTATGTTTTATACCGGTTAATAAGAAATATCTTTATAAAAAAATTCATGTTTCTAATACTCAAGGGATATATGGCATTATTATGTCATACGCATTATGACGTCACAGTTACAAATAGCGCTAAAGTATCTGTTTTAGAAACACTATTGTGACGTCATCAGTATTGTTGCTTCACAGAGATCTATTATGACGTCATAATCAATTTCAACTTTCTTTTTTCCGCACTTTACGGCTCTAATATAATTTATGTGGAAAATAAAGTATTTTCATGGAATTCGATTTAAATCATGTGAAAAGCAATCCCGATACCTATATTCAATTTAATATTATTTTAAAGAAGAGGTCAAGAACATACAAATTACCGTTTTCTAAGAGACTGTAGGCAATATGGATACATATGGAAAAAACTTCCGTATTCATGACTGGTTTTCTTAATTTTTCATTAAAAATGATTTTTTCGTCTTGTTTACATACAAATTATGCCCCGAAACACCTTATTTGACCAAGCTAAAGCTATAAAGCATCATTAAAGGAATGTATTTCTCAAATTTAAGAATCTTTAGACACCTTTCATTTATTAGATATTGACCTTAAAATAGAAATATAAGAAATGAGATATCATTTTTAGAGTTTCACTGGGGTATGACATGAAGTTGGTCACCTGATCAAATCCTATTATGCCCGATGATAATTATTTTACTTCTTTTATTTATATTTTGCATGTATTTTTATTTGTGTTACAAAGAAAATATGCACAAATAGACACGATAACTGCGGGACTGCTCTTTTGCAGAGCAAAATGATATATTTTTGTGAAATCTGACGTAAAAACAATTGTTTAAAATACGCAGTTTAATTATCTGTCAATAAAAACACCGCCAAACGTTAACAATTTGACCCGCAAAAGAGTAGTACCGCAGTTATCGTAAAAGGGCTAAAAGACTTTGTTGTGGAAATGAAACATAACGCATATGTACGACTTCATGTGACGTCACAGTCTAGAACTTCCAAAAGTCTCGTGCAGTTTGCTTTCCATTCGCATGAAAGTCTGATCACGTGACCAACTGCATGTCACTGAAAATTGAATGTCAATTTAATTCGTATTGTCATATAAGGAAAGTCGTTGGCAAATGTAAATATATGTAAATGGATTACGCAACGTCACGGGTCTTGTGACAACAAAACCTTAGGACTCCTGACAAATTCGGGCTTGCTTCACCAATCAAACTGAAGTAGACAGATAATATGAACAGAAAGGAATCAATTAACACCTAAAATGCACGTGTTACGCATTGTTTATCATCGGATGGCTTAATATGATTGGTTGAGAGATACGAAAAACATATCAAGATTTGTAATTTCCCCAAAAGACGTCGCTGCAGTCAGCCCGCAAGGTATCAAATGGTCATGGATCCAATGGCAACAAGTTGACACAGGACCCTTGACATTGTGAGGATGAATGGGGAAAGGACTAGGACAATTTACAGCAACTCTTTTAATACATAATCCATAAAAAACTCTCTGACTAATCAGTAATGTACACACATGTATATACATGTAAATGATTCTTTGCTGGTTTGCATATATGCCAAACCCCTTGAACAAGATGTTCAAAAACTCATATCTACTTTTTATTGTACTCATGCTAATAAAATGTATTTTTACAAATACATATACAATGCATGCTATCCACAACTCATCTTGCACAAGAACTTTACAAACCATATTAGTAAGTGATAATTGATGGTTGTAAAAGACAGCAACATGTAAAAAGACAGATTAAACACTAAACAGCATAGAACGCAAAGACAATTAAATAATACTTACATATACTAGTACCTTATAGAATCCCACATTTGGGGGGTGGGGTATGGTAACTGAGGGTGCTAAAATCTTACATATAAATAAACCATGTTAACTAAACTAATGCACCTTATACTCAATATTTTAAAACAAAATATTTCCTAAAAAGGTTAACATGGGAGGAAAAAAAGACAGATATCCAAAATCTTTTAGCCCTGCAAGCTATTCAAACATGTGTCTTCCATAATCCTAATGCATGTGGTGTATATTGTGGTCTCTTCATCCCCCCCCCCCCAAAAAAAAAAGAAGAAGAGCAAACAATAATCTTGGTCTAATTTTTGAAAAACAAGACACAGATCTTATATCTAAACCCTTTGACAAGCCTGATGCCCCTCCCCTTCCCCTCTTTCCAAAATTTTATCTTCCCTTTGAAATATCCCAGATTTTGATGTATTTTTAAATCCATGCCGAAAAATCATTCTTGCTGTTCATGGATTTGGCAAACGTTTGTGAAGAAAATAGTAACAAAATGTGCAAACCCCTTTGGTGGAAGTCATAAAACACCAAAGTCTAACAGTTACAACATTATTCTCTAAAAAAAAATATCTTGTACAATAAAAGCACATTCTTAGGTTTAAGGACCCTCTAAACACTGATGAAAAAATGTTTTTTAGACTTTGCCAAAATTATATAGTTTAAAGGAGGATATTTTGAAATTAGCTAATTCATTTTTAATATAGGGAGCCTGCCTTTTTTTATCCAGGAAAAATCTTCAAAGACAATGAAGTAATAATCTTGAAAAATTGATTTTGCTTTTTCAAATGGAGAAAATCCAAGCAAATAAAGTTTTCAACTACTCTATCTTGGTCTAATATAATGTGTAGAATACTTGGATTTATTTTAAATTATATCATAGAATGCAGATTATAATTTATTTTTTTGTGTGTCAAATTATGGGTCTGTCTAATTACACAAAAGTACCCTAAAATTAGGGTGCAGTGTAAAAAAAGTATTGGTCTTGGCTTAAAAAAAATGTTATGTAGAAATAGTGAATGTAATAAACTTTAACACTAAAACAAGAGGACCAATGACCTTAATGGTCACCAGAGTATAATACAACACTGTACAGAAGTATAAAATAAAAAAAGTTGTTGTGAAAAAGAGTTGTGACTGTACCCTTTGTAAAATTGATTTATTTTACTCAAACAATAAACTAGAAGAGATCTTCAATAAAAGTTGGAAAACAATTTCAAGCTTATTTTTCCAAAGTATTTGATGGTAATTTTTGGGCCTAATGCTACTTTGAAAAGACTCATGTCGACCATTTACCTGAGGGTCCTTTGGACCCCAGTCATAGAAATAATTTGGAAATTCGAACACTACCCTTCAGGACCAAAAGGGGGGTGGGGGTTATGAATTTCATAATTTTTGTTCCCTTCAGCCATAGATACCAACTGACAAAATTGGTTAAAATTGGTTCAGCGGTTCTAGTGAAGGAGCTGAAAATCTTTAAATGTTAACATAGAGCCACAATGACAGACAAAAACAGATAGCAATCAGGTGACCTAAAAAGTATAAAATTGCATTCTCCTAATAAGATCCTTAGAACATATATTTTGATCAAAATAATTTTAGTGGTAACCAAAACATCTTTCCACAAGCATCTGAATATTACTGTCAGTGATAGAATTTTGTCCAAAAAGTAATTGGTAGAATTTCTCCATTGAAATATCCCCCCCCCCCAACATTCATCACTTGAAATGCTGGTGACAATTAAGTATACATATATTTACTTTAAATGACATTATTTAATATTTCACTGTTAAAAAAATTCTTACATATTGGTAAGCAACACACTGTATATGTATCTACAAAACTAGAAATGCTATTCTACAAATATTATGTCATTTCAGCACCCACTAGGACCTTAATAAATTAAAAAAAGAAGATAATTCCAAACACTGATTATGACAAAGCTTGAAGCTGGTACCTAAAGATACAATGATTAAAACACAGAGAAGATACAATTCTGCTCCTCTGTAAAATATTCTGTGTGTCAAAAAAGTTCAGATATTTTGCACACATCAGCAAACATGTAATAAACTATTTTTCTCTACTATGAAAAAAAAAGGAATATTCATTTGACTTAATACATGTATGTTCACTATATAAAATTCAAAAGTACATGTATATAGCAGTGAAAAAAAGCATACATCCCATAGAAAATTTTAAATGTAATTTATTTCATCACTTTATAAGTGCATCTTTATGGTTTTATGGTAAATCCACTCACAAAAGCTTCACTCGATCTTAACCTTAAAAGGCAACAAGCAACCTTAAAGTAAGATGCATCTTTATTATTATATAAATACTGCACCCAGTTGAGGGTAACATTGAAAATTTCACCTCAAGAAACCTATTGTCTACCGAGGCGCAGCAGAGACTGACAATGGTTTTCGAGGGGTGAAAATTTTCAATATTACACTCAACTACAGGCAGTATTTATTATACTCAACTGAATGTTTTTTACAAATATAAATATAGGTGAAGAGCACATATAAATTCAATGCAGTCAATATTTTTTTTTATATTATCCATCATCAAGCGATGTTGACTGTTGCTAAGTTCTATCACACGTGAGGGTGTAATTTCACCATTCAGTGGGTTACAGTATTTTTTAAACAAATGTTTCTTGACAAATCAAATTCAAGTAATTTACAGGAAAATATAATATAATAAAATGATTTTTCTTTGAGTACATTTTATTATAAAACAAAACAGTTTAAACCCTGTATCATGTCTAGCAGTAAGAGCAAAACATGAAAAACATGGCATATGGACAAGTTCTTTATCACTTCAATTCAAACAAATATATCTGGGTACCTTTCAAAACTTACAGATTTTTGAATTTACACACAGTATAATCTTATATATACAATAAGTGCTTTCAATAAAAAGATGTGAACCTTTTTTAAAATTTGAACAAAAGGTTTAACCTTTCAAAAATACCAGTAAAATAAAAATCCATCTAGGGTTATCAAACATTCACAATTTCTGCCAGAAACACACAGGCATAGGCTGGCTTTAAGTTTCCAGACATAATCGTTTTGTGGAACATACAATTTTTTTTATTCAGAAGGATATGAACTTTGACTTCCAGGACTAGTAGTCCAAAGTTTTATTAAACAAAATTAAACAAAATCTTGGTAATATTCACCAGGAAAAATGCGTAGAGTTTTAAGCTCTTTACAACCTTTTCAAAACAGAATCATATTCAACATTTAAAAATGAATTCAAATGACTATGATTTAGAAAAATAGATTAAACCTACAATTGGTTGTTCAGTTTTGACTTTTGTTTAATTTACATTTTTCAAACAAAAAACAAAACTGGATAATACAAACTACTTGAACAAATATTTGTAAAACACAAGACAACTTTTAAGTCTATAACAATGTATTCAAACATGATTAATACTTCATAAATCAGATCTATGGCGATATATAATGACCAGTTATAGTGCTGTCACTGTGAAAAATATAAAAGAAGGGGGAGGGGAGAGGGAAATGAATGTGTAAGGATAGTGTTTACTGATGAAAGGCTGAAAACACATCATTGGCTGGGATATTTGGCAGTTCCACATTGGCTGATGTGACGATATTGTGAGAAATAACCTTGTGCTGTGGGTCTGTCTTCATGATCAATGAAAGGGGAGGCAAATCCTGTCTAGCCTCTGGTTCTCTAGTGTGAGAGTTAATGCCCTTGTACATGGACATCATGATATGGGGGTCTTTCCTGGCTCCAGGGTTGGTGTAGTCCTCGGGGTACTCTTGCTGGGGAGTGCTGGATGTCACTACATTCTGTTGGTTTTCTGGAGCCTGGTTTTTCTGCCCTTTTTTAGCTTTTGTAGACCCATAGACATACACCGTATGAGCCTAAAGTGATGAAATATTAGCTAAAATTATTTGTCTTTTAAAAAATATTTTCACAAGTTCAAGAGCATTTTTCACATCTTACAAATACAAATGTTAGTTTTAAATGCAACACAACTTTAAAGATTATTCTTACATAAAAAAAGATCTGTACATTATACTGCCTCTAGCTTCTAACTTATAAGAAAATATTCCAAAGCTTTGACATCAAACCTTTTGTTTGTGGCAGTTCACTCCCCTTTGAGTGTGAAACTCCTGGAAGCATTCATCACATTTAAATGGCTTTTCACTTGGATCGTGAGGCTTTGTTCCGTCTTTGCTGTGCATTCGCATATGATGCTGTAGATTGGCCATTTGTGCGAACGCTTTCTCACAACCCTCCAACTTACACGCATAGGGCTTCTCTCCTGAAACATGAAAATTAGTGGATGAACTTTTCTTACATCACAGTGTATTATATGTGGCATAGCAACTAATAGTAGAAAATTTTTAATACAACCATTCAAAATATTTACATTAAACAAGAGGCCCATGGGCCACATTGCTCACCTGAGCACAATGGCTAGGAAAAAGCACAAATCAGTTCAGTATTGAAAAGTTAAAATGTGGGTGGGGACTTGAATTTTAAACTACATGAGGATGCTTCCATACCAATATTACAAATGGGTTTGCTGTTCTTGACCAGAAGATTTTTAAAGATTTTTTCCTCTACATTTAATATCCCACTGTGGCCCCTCCCTACCCTCAGGGGTCATCATTTGAACAAACTTGAATCTACACTACCTGAGGATGCTTCCAAATCAATATGAATAAACCTGGCTTTGCTGTTCTTGAAAAAAAGTTTTTTTCTTATATATTCCTATGTAAAACTTTGATCCCCCATTGTGGCCCAACCCTACCCCCAGGGGTCATCATTTGAACAAATTTGAATCTACACTACCTGAGAATGCTTCCACATCAATATGAATAAACATGGCTTTGCTGTTCTTGAGAACAAGATTTTTAAAGTTTTTTCCTATATATTCCTATGTAAATCTTTGATCCCCTATTGTGGCCCCACCCTACCCCCTGTGGGTCATCATTTGAACAAACTTGAATCTACAATACCTGAGAATGCTTCCATATCAATATGAATAAACAAAGCTTTGCTGTTCTTGAGAACAAGATTTTAAAAGTTTTTTTCCTATTTATTCCTATGTAAATCTTTGATCATCTATTGTGGCCCCTCCCTATCCCTGGGGGTCATCATTTGAACAAACTTGAATCTACAATACCTGAGAATGCTTCCATATCAATATGAATAGACATGGCTTTGCTGTTCTTGAGAACAAGATTTTAAAAGTTTTTTTCCTATTTATTCCTATGTAAAACTTTGATCATCTATTGTGGCCCTCCCTATCCCTGGGGGTCATCATTTGAACACATTTGAATTTACAATACCTGAGAATGCTTCCATATCAATATGAATAAACAAGGCTTTGCTATTATTGAGAACAAGATTTTTTCCTATATATTCCTATGTAAAACTTTGATCCCCCATTGTGGCCCAACCCTACCCCTGGGGGTCATCATTTGAACAAACTTGAATCTACACTACCTGAGAATGCTTCCATATCAATATGACTATATAAGGCTTTGCTGTTCTTGAGAAGAAGATTTTTAAAGTTTTTTCCTACATATTCCTATGTAAAACTTTGATCCCCCATTGTGGCCCTACCCCCGGGGGTCATCATTTGAACAAACTTGAATCTACATAACTGAGGATGCTTCCATATCAATATGACTAATCATGGCTCTGCTGTTCTTAAGAAGAAGATTTTTAAAGTTTTTTCCTATATAATTCTAAGTAAAAATTTGATCCCCCATTGTGGCAAAACCCTACCCCCCTGGGGTCATCATTTGAACAAACTTGAATTTACCCTATGTAATGAAGGTTTCCTATAAGTTTCAACTTTTTTGGGCACATGGTTCTTGAGAAGAAGATTTTTAAAATATGCCACCAAATTGCCACTATTTCAGAATTATTCCCCTTGAATGAGGGCGTGGCCCTTTATTTGAACAAACACGAATCCCCTTCACCCAAGGATGCTTTGTACCAAGTCTGGTTGAAATTGGCCCAGTGGTTCTGGAGAAGAAGTCGAAAATGTGAAAAGTTTACAGAAGGACGGACAGCTAAACAGACGGACTACAGACAAATTGTGATCAGAAAAGCTCATTTGAGCTTTCAGCTCAGGTGAGCTAAAAAAGGATAGGTTCATTACTCTATCATTTGTTTTACATTAATGACTTCCCTATTTACACAAGCAAAGTGACAGTGAAAGCACTAAGTCCTCAATAAGTTTGGTTTAGAGAAACTTGGCTACTGTTCCCTTTAATTTCTACAGAATTGTTATGGTAGATTTAGAGATAATGACTGAACTCTGGAGGATCTGTAAATAGAGTGTTTACCTGTGTGCATCCTTACATGCTGCTGAAGATGGCTAAGCTGCTTAAAGGTTTTGTCACAGTAGGTACATTTGTGTTTCCGAATATTGCTATGTACCAACATGTGTTGGCCCAGCTGGGAGCTGTTCTGTAAAACAAAATAATACTTAATTTTTTGAATCTCTTCATCTCTATCTCTTTGCACAAAAAAAAAAAAATTAAACTGCAAAGGATGTATTTGGAATTTCAAAATAGGAGAGAACAATTTCCAAGAAAAGGTCACACTTAAAAATCAATGTTCATGAGTTATTTTCTACAATAAAATACATGTATACTTGCCTATAAGTCAGTTTTTTGGGATTTAAATTTTGGTCCAAAACTCTATGTCCGACTTATAGGTGAGTCATTAAAAATTGGCATTATTTTGAACGGCAGCATGTAGTATTTTATAAACGTATCCGACAATTATCGTTGAATAAAGTCTGGATATACTATATCATTTTTGTATTCTAAGATTATGCATGAAGTACAAGTATTTACATATTTCAATAATTTTATTTTTATTTTAAGTGTGCATTACTTATTTTTCTTAATGATTTAAAATTAAATATTAGCGTCATTTCTAAAAAAATTATTTAAACCAGGTTAAAACATCATTAAAACATTGATCCGAAATTGTCAGCCGGTTCTTGCAAAAAGTTGTACCGAATTATATGCGGGTCAATGGCAAATCCCTCCAAAATAACCTAAAAAATTACATTCAACTTATAGGCAAGTATATACGGTATGTCTAAATTTTTCCGATCTGCATTTTAGTTCCCTGATCCCAATAGTGACTGAAAGGTTCCTTCATTGACCCAATACATTACATTAACCTTCAAAGTTGGCAAAAACTACATTTACTCCATTAAAGCACCTATTTTTGCATGAGTTTTGGCCTAAAAGTCCTTCAGGGCAGACCTGCCCCTAAATAAAATTATGATATTTTGATTGGTTGTGGTCTAAGGAATACAATAATTGTAAAATCACTTATTTTCAGGGGGCATTGTTTTCGTCATATGAATATACCCACAAAATTCATGTCCTCCACAAAATATGAATTCTAACCTATAACAATGCAGTGTTTCTTTACCCAGGAAATCAAATCCCTTTCAACCAATATTTTTTCCTCAAGCTACAAAAATTTTACCCCACGACAGTCATTTAGAATAAGATTTTTTCTGGGGGCAACCCTGCCCTAGGGTCGAAATTATAAAAAATTTAACTATTTTTTTTTTTGACAAACTGGTTCATATTTACACCACCTATTTTCTTAGCCTGAATAGCTCACACTACATTAACCCCTGATTATAAACACTGTGTGTACTGTTTTTTAGAATAATGGTTCAAATCCACCTGGAGACACTTCAAGTTTTAAATTATGACCTTTTCAAACATTATTTTTATTTTTTGAAAGGGGTTTGTGTATTTTCCTTCAATTATCTATCTTTTATGCATGTTCATTTTTGAAATAAAAGACATTAAAGAGAAAGCAAATCCAATGTAACCTACCTTGAACATTTTGTCACATTCTTTACAAATGGGAAGCCCGTATTTGTCAGTTGAGAGACGTCTTTGCTTGCTTGGTGAGGCTTCATCTTCATTCACTAAGATTATAGTTAATTTTTACTTAATACTGGTACTTATATATGAAAAGAAAACACACACACACACACAAACACACACAAATAAAACAATAACAAACCAAAAAAAGACAAGAGGTCCATAGGCCACAAAGTTCACCTGAGTAACTGTGGCTCCTCTTGTTCCTTTTTCCTATATGTTCTCATGTCAAATTTGATCACCCATTATAGTCCCAGCTTATTCCTGGAGGTTTTGATATGAAAAATCTTGATTCTACCCAATCTGAGGATGCTTCTGTATAAATATGATTAATCATGGCTTTCCTATTCTTGGAAAGAAGATTTTTAAAGATTTTTCCTATATATACCCATGTAAAACTTTGATCCCCCGTAGTGGCCACACCCTACCCCTGGGGATCATGATTTGAATAAACTTGAATCTACACTACCTGAGGATGCTTGCGTATAAATATGTCCAATCATGGCTTTGCTGTTCTTGAGAAGAAGATTTTTAAAAAAAATTTTTTCTTAGGTAAAACTTTGATCACATATTTTGGCCACACCCTATCCTTGGAGGGTCATGATTTGCAAATTTGAATCTGCAATATGTCAGGAAACTTTCACATATTAATTTTCATCTTTTCTGGCTCAGTGGTTCTTGAGAAGATTTTTGCTTTTTCTTAATTATCTCCCCTTGGAAGAGGGTGTGGCCCTTCATTTGAACAAACTTGAATCACCTTTCCCAAGGATACTCTGTGCCAAATTTGGTTGAAATTGGCTCAGTGGTTTGGGAGAAGATGTAAATGTAAAAAGTTAACGACGACAACGACAACAATGTTGCCAGACAACGGACAAATTTTGATCAGAAAAGCTCACTTGAGCCTTCAGTTCAGGTGAGCTAAAAATTAAAAAAAAATCAATAAAAGATTAATGTGAAATGTCAATATTTTGAACTACCACTGGTTAGGAAGAATGTAAAAGACACAAAGCTCTACTTTAAAGGGAATTAATCAATCCTTTTTTTGTGCTTTTGAATCAATGGAAAGTAAATCCAACAATATACAAATATAATTAGTAGTACTTAATTTCTGAAGTTTGGGAGGACAATTAAAACTTACAAAGGTGGGATTTAATCATTTTTTAAAAAAATTCTGTTAAGATACATGTATCACTCCCATAAACACCTATTCTGCAACAAAATGAAATACTTGCCTCCCTGATTATGAATTCTGTTAGCATCATCATTTTGTGAGTTTATTTGTTGACTATGAAGCCTGTTTCCATCATTGTCTGACAGTGAGTGTATTGCGAGCCCAGGATTGTCTGTCTGTCTGTGTATCTGACTTCTAAGTACATCAGGGGATGACATCCTGTCATATCAGATCATACATTTAAGCAGGAATGGTCAGGATTTCTACAATATTATAAAAATTAATTGTTTTGGGTGTCAAATTGTATTCAAAATGTAAAATTAATATCTGAACTGAATTTTAAAATCAAAACAGTCATTTAAAACTGTGTTGGTACTCTGTCAATTGAGAAGATAAGTGCAATTATAACACAATTTATATGAATGTCTATCAAGGACCATGAATCTAATAAGAGTATCTTGTAACTTAGAGCTGCTAAATGCTAATGGTATTGGGTTCATTTGCCCAGTCTACCTGTTTGCATGAGTCTGTTTGTATAGGGTCTATTCACCATAATTCTCGTTCATCCTGCACCCCATTAGCCATATATCCTGTTCGCCCTATTGATTATATTTTTTGTCATTTGAATTTTAAGTAATTTCTATTTTTTTTTTTTTTGTTATTAAATAGAACTCACAAAAATTTTAATATACACATATTTCCTTTCTATCAGTATTGACTTTATTTCCAATTTTAAGTTTATCAAAGACGTAATCAGTTTAATTGCTGTTAATTTAGTATTGTAAAATAAGGGAGCACTTTCTTTGTTTTGTTTTTAGGTTCATATTACATGTATGTTTCGAAAATAATTAAGGAAATTGAGAGTGACATTAATCATGTTAATAAGCCATTTTAATTGGGGATGAGCAGTGTCTTAGCAATGGGTTTATTTTTTTAAGAATCTTAAATTTTATTCTCAACTTAATATAACGTTATATAACATTACTAATAAATTAAGTAGTATCACATCAATTACTTAACAGTTTCTTTTTATTTCTTCATCTATGCTGAAAGTTCAAGTATAATAAATTATAATGTAAATAGAAAAAATCATGAAATCAATAAAATCAAAGGGAATTACGAAAAATTAACTGACTAACATATAAAGGACGAACAGACTTTGGGCAAATGAGTTTTAGAGCGGACTCTGGGTGAAAGAGAATTAGGGAGAATGTCGTCAAGGGTGAACCCATTTTAGGGTGAACAAACATACATTTGCTGCTAATGCACATCTTGCAATAGGGCTGTCACAGTTCCCCGAAATAATCAAAAACCGCGGTCCAAGTTGTTTGGTTCGGTTTCGGTTCCATTTTCCCAGATTTCGGTTTGGGTCTGGTTTGTATATTAGAATATGTTTTATACGAAAAAATGGCGTCGAAATCAAATGAATGATGACGATAACAGTGATAAATAAACATTACAACTGAATTATACTTCATTCCATGACAAAAATTGTCACTAAAGGATTAGATAATTATCAAAGCAAGCACAAATGGTCATGTTGTAGCTAGTAGTCGGCCTAGTAGTCCTAAACACAGATACTAAGATGTAAACATGGATAAGATTTGTTTTTTAAAGGTGAATGTAATGTAACAAATAAAGATTTTTTTGTTTAATTCATGAAATTAAGGTTTGAAAAAGAGGTAAATAACTGAACCGAAAAACCCGAAACCGAACCAAAAATTTACAGAACCGACCCGACCCAAAAAATTTTGGAACCATGACAGCCCTATCTTGCAACTTTGATCTGCTAATACACATCTTGTAACTTAGAGCTGCTAATGCACATCTTGCAACTTAGAGCTGCTAATGCAAATCTTGCAAATTTGATCTGCTAATGCTCATCTTGTAACCAGTGGTAACTTAGAGCTGCTTATGCACATTTTCATCCACACAATATAATAAATACCCCCCCCCCCCCCGAAAATTGCATATAGTACTGCAGATCAAAGATTTTCTGTCCACACAAAAGAAGCCACGTACTGTGACTTACTGTACTTTATTATCATCATTAACTTATTGTACTGACCTGCCGAGTGTATCGGATATATATAGTCAGACAACATTATGCTACTTATTAGATCTAGATCTATACAAAACCGTACACTAATTACATTTTGATACGATGATACCGTATTGCATCAGACTGGTATCTGAAACACTTACACAATATCATGAATATGGACAGTACTAATCCATTTATATTTTCTATAAACAATGTACAGAGAAAAAAAAATCTTACAAAAATGGTGACTCTAACTGCAGTTGTCAATGCTCTTGTACCACGATTTCAAAATTACGAATGCTTGAGGAGAAAAATATTATGATATAATTAAATGTATCTAGCTGTTGAATTTGAATTTATTCAGTGCACTTTTATTATTTTATTTTTTCATTTTCCTTATCACTTTATATGTTTTTTTTATTTCAAATACGCTCGGGATCGAAGTTTGCTTTTTGGTCGATCAAACCCGATTTAAAGTGAATGCATCCAAGAAAAATAGCATTCAACTGTTCAAAAAGCTTACCTGACTAAATCTTTCAATATCTATGTCTATAGAACATGTAATAATTATAAGTAATAAACGTTTCTGTCACTTTTTTTTGGGGGGGGGGGTGTTCCGAAATATTTCCGTCTTTACATGTACATTTACAACACATCATGATTTTTGTTTTTAAAGTTAATGTTGTTTGCGACTCAGCAGAAGAATGGAAAGTGAACAAAATTTATGTTAATACACATGTATATTTATCGTTTGATCTCAGACAACAGGAATACAGGTGGAATGTTTAGTACATGTACATGCATGTGGATGACATTAATGATTTGAAAAAAAATGGCATGATATTGAAGATTCTTTAAATAGTTTTAAATTAGCATGCACGGATCTGGGTCTAACCCCCCCCCCCCCCCCTGGAATTTGCAAAGTTATAAAATGTATATACTGAAGGAAATAAAAAATGACTTTGGACCCCCCCCCCCCTTATCACCAGCACGGAATAGGTGTTTTTCACATTTGGGAAATGGATTTTACGTTTGTTTGTTTTTGTTTTTTTTAAATACGTTTGGGAAGGGAATTAAGATTTTTTTTTTTTTTTTTTTTTTTTTTGGCTTTTCAAGAAATTTTTGGGTCAGAAGTTTTTTTTGACTGGGATGGAACCCCCCCCCCCCCCTGAAAAAAATCCTGGATCCGCTTCAACTGCATAGAATTCTGGTTATTCTTGTAGTTAGAGTGGTTATTCTTGTGAATATGGGACAAAATAGAGTTATTCAAATGTAATTCAACATATTTTGGATGGCTAAATACCGATTTAACCGAATGATATTGAAAAATACTCCCCCCCCCCCCCTTTCTCATATATTATTTTTAGTTCTGAAAATGCAGAATGATTTCGTTGTCGAAATATATCCCAATAAACAAGAGACATAAAGGCCTTAACTGTTACCTGAATACACTAGTAAGGCCAACTCGCTAAATTCGCTTTATTATTTTCCTTTTTCCTAGACATTGATTTTTTGAATAACCTTTTAGCTTTGACCAAAATGGAATAAAAGATATTTGACGTTCCAGGAAATGTGAGATTTGCAATTTGTTAAATCATGCAAAACATCCCATATTACCCAATTATGGGTTCCTTCATTTCTGTGGTTGATATGGTTTGAATATCAATCCATACTAGTATTTAAAATCATCATATGATCCGGTCCTACTAAACGGAGAACAAGGATCCAGCAATTTTTGAAGGGAGTTCAAGGGTGGTAATCCCCTTCAAACATAGATTCACACATACAGGGAGAGAAAATCATCTTTGAAAAGACCCTTCAGTCCGAATAAAGAACAACTACATGTACTGTAGCTTTAAAATTAGATGGGTTGGCAATTTTTCCAAGGAATACAAAGAAAAACTGTTGAGAAATTGATAAACTTGTGTTTGTTTGTTCTTTGTTCAATTTGATTTTCTGACAACCTAAAGACCAGGGGACGTAAAAATAAAGAATTATTTTTTGTGGCCTGATGTATACTTCCCTCTAATGACTTATATTTGACTTAGTTTCTTCAAAAGATGACCCTAAAATGGAAAATAGCCAATGATCGCCGGAATCTGATATCAAATTAAACCTCGTATGATACTTATCATATATTGAAATAAGCAGAATATTTTGTACCGTTCACGTTAAAAGGGAGGGATAGTGAAATGGAGGAAAAGAGGTATAGGTGAGACTCTATCTATAGCAAGTGGGATATTAGCAGAGATTGTGGTCGATCAGGTTGTTTTGACTTAAGTTTATTTATTCAAAACGAACTAGATGTAAAAATACCTATTACAGAAAACTTGTTTTATTCTCCCCCCCTCTCTCTCCTTCTCTCTCTCCACTTGGCAAAAAATAAACGGGGTTACCCACGGAACCCCCTCTAGATCTGCAAATATACGGTACTCTACCTATATTTCGTAATTTTAATTATATTTTATAGATAATGAAGTTGAAAGTCACTTTACAAATCAAACTCTATTTATCTAATTGTTGAAAATGTTATTTTATGAGTATTTCCCCTTATACAAATATATCAGTCTAACTAGATTGTAAACTATTTAATTTACAGTGAATTTCCATTGCACTGAGTGAAAGAATGCTTTTATTATATTTTGTTCCAAGAAAATGGTTTTCTATACTATTTAACATTATTTTTTTTACTGCAATTATTTGAATTACGTAGAAAATGAATTCAATTTGAAATATTGTGAAAACTTTTTTGAGTAATAGAATAGCGAGGATATTTACATTTGCCGATGTTTTGTCAATTGTAATTAATCATACTAGTAAATCCTCATCTTCGCTAGCCAAGGGTGACGATCCGCACCTCTCCTTTTTCAGAAAAGAAAAGAGGAGAGAATCGAGGGGATCGTCACCCTTGGCTATATAGCGAAGATGGTATATTTAACTGGTAAAAACTCAAATATTATATACCTTCATAATGATATCACGTTTTTCGTCCCTATAAACTTAATACAGGCACTTGTTTCTGTAATAAAATTTTCAACCCATAGTATAATAATTATCACATAATGGGTTGAACAATTTATTGCAGAAACAAGTGCTTGTGGAACTCAGCTATGAAATGTCACAAGCTCCGAGCTGGAGGTCAACAATTATCGTCATCCCCCTTTTTAGCTCTACTGGTCAGAGACCAGAAGAGCTTATGCGATAGTAAGGTGTCCGTCGTCCGTCCGTCTGTCTTTAAACAATTTTTCAAAACGCTACTCCTCCTACAGTTTTGGTCCGATTTCAATATAACTTGGCACACAAGTAGACTACACTAAGATACATAATTTAGTGCATCGGTTTTTGATTTCGATGGACGGTGTTGCCATGGTTACTAAAAATAGAAATTTCTGTGAAATTCCTTTTAAAACGCTACTCCTCCTACAGTTTTGGTCCGATTTCAATATAACTTGGCACACAAGTAGACTACACTAAGATACATAATTTAGTGCATCGGTTTTTGATTTCGATGGACGGTGTTGCCATGGTTACTAAAATAGAAATTTCTGTGAAATTTCTTTAAAACGCTACTCCTCCTACAGTTTTGGTCTGATTTCAATATAACTTGGCACACAAGTAGACTACACTAAGATACATGATTTAGTGCATCGGTTTTTGATTTCGATGGACGGTGTTGCCATGGTTACTAAAAATAGAAATTTCTGTGAAATTCCTTTAAAACGCTACTCCTCCTACAGTTTTGGTCCGATTTCAATATAACTTGGCACACAAGTAGACTACACTAAGATACATAATTTAGTGCATCGGTTTTTGATTTCGATGGACGGTGTTGCCATGGTTACTAAAATAGAAATTTCTGTGAAATTCCTTTAAAACGCTATTCCTCCTACAGTTTTGGTCCGATTTCAATATAACTTGGCACACAAGTAGACTACACTAAGTCACATAATTTAGTGCATCGGTTTTTGAATTCAATGGACGGTGTTGCCATGGTTACTAAAAATAGAAATTTCTGTGAAATTCCTTTAAAACACTACTCCTGCTACAGTTTTAGTCTGCTTCTAATATAATTAGGCATACAAGAAGACTATACTAAGATACATAATTATTGCATTGGTTTTTGAATTCGATGAACAGTGTTGCCATGGTTACTTAAAATAGAAATTTCTGTGAAATTCCTTTAAAACGTTACTCCTCCTACAATTTTGGTCTGATTTCAATCTAATTTGGCACACAGTTAGAATACACTACGATACATAATATGTATTTCTGTTTTTTTTATTTGGGTGAATGGTGTTTTCATGGTTACTAAAAATAGAAATTTCCGTGAAATACTTTCAAAACGCTACTACTCCTAGTTTTCATTTGATTTCAATATAACTTGTCACTAAAGTAGACTACATTAAGATACATAATTCTATTTATTGTTGCATGTTGCAATGTTTCAAATCCAAGTGCTACTTTTCTTTTGTTATACAAACAGACCAGTAGAGCTACAGTCTCATCAGAGACTTCTGGTTAATACAAGCAACATAAAAACCCATAAATTTATTCAACAAAATATATCCATTGAACCCCCCCCCCCCCCCCAAATAAATTAGAGCATTTCGATCGGGGTCGGAATTCATTTTCAGATTCTTGTGTACACTTCCTGTTCGGCGTGTCACAAGATTTCGAAGTCACTGTCACTGCATGTTGACTGCAGATATCTAATAATCTTTTCAGAAAAATACATGTATTAAGAAGGTCTCTGTGATTAACATCTAATACAGTAAGTGATCAAAGGAAAACACAGACTCTAATATTGAGCTGTCACACGCGGAACATCATGAACATATGATCTACATGGGTTTTTTGGATGGATTTACTTCCCGAGTCAATTTGTCAATTGTCATACCTATTTCTTTTTGATAATATAATTTTTTTTCAAGATGATTTCACTGCTGTCAACATTTCTCTATAGGGAGGTTGAAAACACCATTCATTAGTGCAAAAAAAGTGAAAAAAAAAATGTTCCCAAAAACGATTTTTTTTTACACAGGTTGGCCCAAATTGGATAATATGTTGACGGTGCGACCGTTAGAGTGAGCGCACATACCTATTTAGTTTTAATTTAGATCAGTCTTGTCAAATCGCTCATGACATTTGGTACTTCTAGACTCTGATGTCACATGACGTAATATTATGTATGTTGCATTACTAAAACAAAGTCTGGGCAGTGCTAATTTTAATAAAGAAATTTAATCTATTATTTACACGTATCTGCAATATACATTAAATCAAGATGTGTTGATTAGCTCTACTGGTCAGAAACCAGAAGAGCTTATGCAATAGTAAGGTGTCCGTCGTCCGTCCGTCTGTCTGTCTGTCTAGCTGTCTGTCTGTCTGTCCGTCTGTAAACAATTTTTCAAAACGCTACTCCTCCTACAGTTTTGTTCTGATTTCAATATAACTTGGCACACAAGTAGACTACACTAAGATACATGATTCTGTATATCGGTTTTTGATTTCGATGAACGGTGTTGCCATGGTTACTGAATATAGAAATTTTTGTGAAATACATTCAAAATGCTACTCCTCCTACAGTTTTGTTCTCATTTCAATATAACTTGGCACACAAGTAGACTACACTAAGATACATAATTCTGTATATCGGTTTTTGAATTCGATGAACGGTGTTGTCATGGTTACTAAAAATAGAAATTTCTGTGAAATATATTCAAAACGCTACTCCTCCTACAGTTTTGTTCTCATTACAATATAACTTGGCACAAAGTAGACTACACTAAGATACATATTTCTGTGTATCGGTTTTTGATTTCGATGAACGGTCTTGCCATGGTTACTAAAAATAGAAATTTCTGTGAAATACATTCGAAATGCTACTCCTACTGCAGTTTTGTTCTGATTTCAGTATAATTTGGCACACAAGTAGACTACACTAAGATACATAATTCTCTTTATCTGCTTTTGATTTCGATGAATGGTGTAGCCATGGTTACTAAAAATAGAAAATTCTGTGAAATACTTTCAAAACGCTACTCTTCCTACAGTTTTGGTCTGATTTCAATATAACTTGGCACACAAGTAGACTACACTAAGATACATAATTCTCTTTATCCGTTTTTGATTTCGTTGAACGGTGTTGCCATGGTTACTGAAAATAGAAAATTCTGTGAAATACTTTAAAAATAGGGCTGTCACGGTTCCAAAATTTTTCGGGTCGGGTCGGTTCTGTAAATTTTCGGTTCTGTTGCGGGTTTTTCGGGTCGGTTATTTACATCTATTTTAAACCTTAATTTCATGAATTTAACCTGAAAAATCTTTATTTGTTACATTAAATTTACATTGAAAACAAGTCTTAACCATGCGAACGTCTAGACATCGGTGACTTTGCCTACTATTAGATACAACCTGACTATTCCTGCTCGTTTTGATAATTATCTAATACTTCCGTACAAGTGTTTTGTCATGGAATGAAGTAGATTTCAGTTGTGATGTTTATTTATCACTGTTATAGTCATCATTCCTTCGATTTCAACGCCATTTTTTGTATTGAACAGACTCTAATATATAAACCAGACCCGAACCGAAATCCGGAAAAATGGAACCGGAACCGAACCGAACAACTTGGACCGCGGTTCTCGGTTATTTCGGGTACTCGTGACAGCCCTATTTAAAAATGCTACTCTTCCTACAGTTTTGGTCTGATTTCAGTATAATTTGGCACACAAGTAGACTACACTAAGATTCATTATTCTGTATATCGGTTTTTGATTTAGGTGAACAGTATTGCCATGGTTACTAAAAATAGAAATTTCTGTGAAATACATTCAAAGTGCTACTCCTCCTACAGTTTTGGTCTGATTTCAATATAACTTGGCACACAAGTGGATTACACTGAGATACCTAATTCTGTATATCAATTATCTGGTTTTGGTGAAGTGTTGTCATGGTTACAAAAAATTGAATTTCTTTGATATACTTTCACGTAACTACAGTTTGGTCTGATTTTAAAGTGACATGGCATGCAAGTAGACTACACTGAGATACATAATTGTCTTAATTGTTTTTTTATTTTGAATAATGTTGCCATGGTAACTAAAATTGAAATTTCTCTAAAATTCTTTTAAAAGGCTACTTCTTCTACAGTTTTAGTCTGATTGCAATTCATCTTGCCACAAAAGATAGTAAAACAAGGACTACTATTTATTTATTGCTGTTGCAAAGTTTCAAGTCCAACTGCTACTTTTCTCTTCCTTAATTGTTATAAGTACAAACCAGTAGAGCTACAGTCTCAACAGAGACTTCTGGTTTTTTTGTTGAACTTTCGTTGTTACCATGAGAACGTTGTTTGAGGGGAACACTTCTAGTATACCAGCCTCTATAAATATGGTGCTGAAAAAGGTGCCACGGAAGGTGGTGAACAATATAATATGATCACGTGAGCGGTTGAAAAAATCAATAAAAAGGCCACAAATCGCAAAATTGAGCTAAAATTGGTGTTCCTAGACCTTGTGAAAAATTGGGTTTCAAAAACTGGTTTTTAAACACAGCTTTTTAAATGAGAATTAAGATTTCATTGTTTAGTAGGTAAAAGTCCATCTTGCATTGTTTACGAATGTGGTCACATGATCAATTTTTGAGGTAATCTTATATATATTCATAAGGTACGTTACTTGTGTTTCGATGCAGTAAAGAAATAGCTGATAGGATTCAAAGTGAATCGCCACCAAAATTGTGAGATTTTTGTGAAAAATGCAGGGATTTTACAAGTGGTAACTATAATTACTAGTAGTTGGTTGATTGAATTGTGCATCATCATTGATTTGAAAGGAAAAATATTCGGAATATTGACATTAGGAGATCAGGATATCAAGAAGAGTGGATTTATAAAGCAGTTCCAGTTTTAAAACTATATACTCTAACCCTAATCACTCGATCGAATGCATTTTGTTGAAGTGAGGGGAAAATGGTGGTTTGCTTACATTCTGCATAGCAACGGTAAGGGAAATAACCGCTCATGTGCAGTTTGCATGATTCTGGGGACCAGCATACTAGAAACTTCTTGTTTGTGGCGAGGTACAATTCTCAAATGATTTTGGGTCCAGTTACTGCAGAAAAAATTTATTTAGATCAATGTGCAAAGTCCAAATTTTCTCTTTGCTTAAGCGTTGTTGTTAGAGCTCACTATAGTAATCTGTTTGATATTAGAGATTACTGACAAAATATTGATAAGAATTTTGACAGATAATGCTTTTTATGATCAACCATTCCCAATTCAATATAGGTACCAGTATCTTTTTCCCCAATTGAATGTGTAAATTTTTCCCAATTGTCACTTCCCCAAAAAATTAAAGAACATTTTGTAAGCTATGTAATTACTAAACTTGTTAATATTCATATTCCTCTATATTGGAAAACAGAAATTAAGTTGAAAACAAACACCTAAAACCCAGTATGCTAGTACCAGTAAAATGATTTTAATGTACAATGATTTTCACAAATTTCTAGAAAGGTGACAATTTTCCCAATTTTTACGGCCCTGGTCTCAGTCCAAAAAAGTGATATGAGAGGCCTGATTTAATTTTGTCAAGGACAATTTTGTGTCCTGTACAGTATTAAGGTCTAATACTTAAACATGTATGCAGGGTTCGACACTAACATTTTTAGGCTTTAGTCCGACTGGAGTAGTGCTTCTTTACTTTTACTAGTCCGCACGCGATTTTACGAGTCCGTCAAAAAAATATCAATGTTTTGTAACGGTTAATTTAAAAATAAACATTACAATGTGCTTTTTATACTTTTTCAAATAAACAAAGCATTTATGTGAAATGTTTTATTCCAAGATTCGTTGAAATCTTGCGTTCAGGAACTATGATCGTATTCCCGATTTCGTTCGTTTTTCTTTATACATTATACCCAAACGTCTGACATCTTTCTTTATGTGTCATACTAATTCATGATCACTAAATTTTTTAATTTCATACCAATCTGTCCTAAAATTAAGTGCCGAATTGACTCAGAATTATCTAACTTCCCACCAAGAAGCTAGAAAGCTAAAAATACATGTGGGGTTTTCCAGTGAAAGTTGTCGAGAATCGAACATCGGTAATTTATTGATTTTTTTCCAGAAATTTTTATTAGTCCATTTGGACTAATTAGCCACAGATTTTATTAGTCTGTATGAAAATGTATTAGTCTGAGACTAATGTTAATGTCGAACCCTGGTATGATAATGTTTTAGAAACCTTTCTAATACAATTTCTCTTATTTAAAGAAAACTTAATTTGCAAGTAGATTACATCAAGATATTTATCTCTGTGTATCATTTATGATTAATATGATGGTGTAACTTGGGTTTCTAAAGTAGACTAGGACTCACTTCATTTTTTTCAAAATGGTGCTTATCCTACTACACTTTTTCTGGTTTAAGTAATTAAGTCTTGGTATAATGTGGAAAATATCAAGATTCGATGAATGTAAAACTCAAAAATATATTGTACAAGTACCCAATTACTGGTAATGAAAACCAATAGAGCTACAGTCTCAACAGAGATGTCTAGTTCAGTGTGCTTAGACTTGTACCTTTTTAGCTCACCTGAGCCGAAGGCTCAAGTGAGCTTTTCTGATCACATTTTGTCCGTCGTCCGTCCGTCCGTCTGTCCGTCTGTCTGTCCGTCTGTCTGTCCGTCCGTCTGTAAACTTTTCACATTTTTGACTTCTTCTCAAGAACCACTGGGCCAATTTTGACCAAACTTGGTACAAAGC